TAGGCCTTGGGAGAGACCATAGAAATTTGGAATTTGTCAGTTTTTATTTCTTCTTAAGTAGAGTCCTCCTCCCAAACTGAATACACTTCAGACCCCACAAAACCTGGATCTGCTGCTGCTCTTCTTACATAAACCATGTTCACCAGAAACTCCAGGATAATTACCTTATATGCTTTCTAAAACTGTCTTAAGCAAATTACATTACATGCATCTCATCCTGGTTCTAGGTACAGTTTTTTACTGTGTCATAGATACCATCTTGCTACCTGGTCCATAGGTTATATAAAAATGACTAGGGCTTATCAATGTACAGTGGCCTTATGCAGCAGTGACCAGTCTGCAAACATGTATGAGGCATGTCAGGCCTGGCTGAGACCCATAACATGCAGGTGCCAGCCTCAGGTGATGGAACTTGGTCTTCTCCTTTATTCTTTCTTTCTTTTTCTCTTTCTTTCTTTCTTTCTTTCTTTCTTTTTTGTCAAATATAACAGAAAAGGAAAGACTATGGGAAGAGAGGGCAGAGGGAGGGAGCAAGCAGGAAAGAAAGAAACAATTTGCTATGTACGGTATTTAAAAAATAATCTCAGTTCTTTCTTTAGGCATATTGCTGCCCTTTGACACTGTCCATAGTTATGTGCTTTGTATTTGCACTACATGTATGTACATACATGCATATGTGTGTGTGTGTATAGGTAGTCTCACATTGAAACTATATATATGTGTGTGAGTGTATGTGTATATATATAATTTAAATGTGAGATTACCAAAAAATTCTCTGTGAATCACATTGTTTCTTTCCATATCTCCCCATCTGCTCACTCATGAATATACTAAATCAATGACACTGTAGTGTAAGCATCTCCACAGTATCAGTGTGATTATCAGTGCCATTTGAATTATATAATGAGAATACATTTCCAGAGTTTTAAACCCTCTTGAACTGCTTAGGAGCCTTATACATTATTCCTCGGAATTTTTTGAAATATAGTTTCTTAAATTTAGGAAAATTTATCTAGTTTAGATCTTAGACTCCCTAAAATTAAATTCTGCCCAGCCTTTCTCTCCAGACCTATGACGAGTGCTAAAATAACAAAATTTAAGCTTTTTAACACTGTCTCTTCTACATCATCTCCTGCCATTCCCACCTTCACACCTTATGTTCCAACAAAATCGAGCTGCTTAAAATTCTCTAATCCAGTTGGTTCCAGGGCTAGTGATAGGAGTTAAGAACATAGACAAAGACATATCTTCCATAGCGTATCCACACGGCTTTCTCCATCTCATGGGAGGTTAAATTGCTAATAAGCATGTCAAGAATTCTAACATAAAATATTGGTTAATGGGCTTTCAATTCTAAAAGGTGAAAGGTATTTAATTATGAGAACAGTTTTAAACTATAGTAATAAAATAAAACAAAGAAACAAATATACTGGAATTAAGATTTAAAAAACACTTGACGTTGCAGAACAGTGCAAAGATCAGATGCTGTAACTTTGCTTGTGCTGGCAATCCTTGTTGTTCCAGGAGTGGAATTGCATGTGCAGCTATGAATAAACAGATCCTAAATAGAGTGCCTACGATTGCAGTTCTACACCTTATTTTGGACAACTACTGATAGCATTTAATGGGAAATGTAGTCAACTGTCCCATAGGAGATAAGATCCTGCTGCACTTTTTTTTTTCCCCAATAGAAAGGAAATATTTTAACTGGGAAGCAGAATAGAAAGCCAATTTTATATAAATGGCATGCAAACAAGGTTACTGATTTTAGACTTCATTATAGTTTGTGTTCAAATAAATAAGGAGAGGCCTACAAGAGAAATGACCAAGAAAACTAAAAATTAAAAAAAATTTAAAAATAGGGGTTATTCCCATCCCTTTAAAAGGTCACTAAAGAGAAAAGAGGATGAGTCACAGGCCACCTCAGCAGAGCTGAAAATTGGGGCAATTCCCCAGAACTCTGTGTGGGGAGGTGGGGGCGGAGTGTGTTACTACCTAGCAAACGATCACCTAGCAACAGCAGGGAAGTGACTCAGGGCAGTTACTCTCTTCCAAAGGAGAGAAAGTGGCTCCGCTAGTGCTAGAGACAGGCCTGAGATCTGTCTGGATAATCAGGACATGCTTGCCTCCACCATCTTCAGATGAAGAGGAAGCACTGCCTCTACCTTATTCTTCTTAAACACCACTTCGGTTGTCCTGATTTTCACATTAAATGTAATTCCAACTGTATAAAAATGTTGGCTAGCCAGCTGGAAGGCAAAGCTGGAAGATGAGATGAAATCTAAATTGATCTTTTGGTATTGATGTGAGCTCAATAATGAAGAAATACTCTTATTTTGTTAGAAATCATTCTCCATCCATTAAATTGTCTAATGCCTACTATAACCTAATCCACACATTTGAGTTGTCTCTGAATTAAAATATTGTTGTTCCATAGATTTAAATAAGGGCAATCCTGAAACTACTTTGAGAAGTCTGATCATGTGTTATTCCTCATGATCTTCTTAAAGTGTGTTAGTAAATTAGTTCCTCATGTTTCTCCAAAGAAGGCTTCCAACCATATTTTCCTGACCTGATCCCCAAGTACTAATATCCTGGTGCATACCTAACCTCCCTAAGATATTGCATCCCTAAAAAACAAAAACAGGATGAAATGAAAAATGACAAAGTAGAGTTCTTAGAAATCAACTATATGATAGGCAAAATAAAATCTTTAATTGGAGAGTTGAAAGATAAAGTTAAGAAAACCTATCAGAAAAATAAGACAGAAGGACAAAGAAAAAGACATTAGTACAAAAATTGTAATAGATTCTAAGTATCAATCTAGGAGAACATCTGAAGAAAGAGGAGTTCCAGAAAAAAAAGAACAACAAAATTTCCTGGAACTGAGGCCATCAGTTTTCAGATTGAAAAGACCCCATTGAGCAGCAGCAGAATAAATAAAAAAACGATCCATACCAAGGCATATAGTCATGAAATGGTCAGAACATCAGGGATGAAAGAATCTTGAAAGTGTCTTTAAAATTAGTTCACATGCAAGGGAATAGGAACCATGTGACATCAGACTGGTCAGCAAAAATTTAACACCCTGGAGGACAATGAAGCCATTTTTGAAACATTTGTGAGACAATGATTTTCACCTAGATGAATTAATGGTCAAGTATGTGGGTAAATAAAGACATTTACAGAAATATGAGAATTCAAATACATAACTTTGGAGGAAACTGCTGGAGAATATACTCCAACAGTTGAGGGAGCACTCATGACAGCAAACTTCAGGGACTACAGGAAGGAAGGGATCCAACACAGGTAGGAGGCAAAGAAAAGTCCCCGAGTAATAGCGGAAGGACAACCTAAAGGACAGCTGTGCAACAAACCCAGCAATAACCATTCAACCCTGGAGCAGGAGGATTGGGGGAGCCTGTTGGAGTGGACAGATTTTCTGATATGTTTGAGTACTTGAAAAATATTGATATTTGAGGGATATGATGGAGCATGTATAAAAATTTCTCATGAGAAATGAGGCAGTTATTAATGTTAAGAAATGATAAAATGTGGCAATTATTAACGCTGAATGACAATGTTTTACAAGATAGAACATGATTCTGAAGTGTCAATATTTACACAGCCATGAAAGTGTAAATACTGAGAAGTGATTTAACCAAAAAATGCCATATAACTATCTTGGAAGAGTGGCAGATGTAAGGAAAGTGATATTGGTGGTATAAAGGATGTAAATTCTCATTCATCATAACAGGATATTAATAAATAATTTTGAAATTAATAAATAAGATATACCAGTGTAAGCAGATTATTTAGAAATATGGAGGTATTTACCAGAAAAAAAAGTGTAAGCGTTAAAAAGAGTTTCACCTGGGGAATTAGACAGAGAAGGGTAAGGGATTATAGTAAGAGTACTATATTTTTAAATGACTATTACTTTATTAAAATTTCTCTCTCTTTCTTTCTCCCTCTTCCTCTCCCTCCTCTCTCTCTCTCTCTCACACACACACACACACACACACACTTCTATGCATTAAGACTTTGAGTGTCCAAGTGTGTCTTGACAAGAGAGAAAATCAAAAATAAAGATTGATTTCCATATTTATCATGACTTAGTTTACGGACTTCATTGCCTTGACAGCTAAATGATAGCAGGACCTTGAATGGAGATGACAGGGTTAATTCCAGGACACTGGAAGCTCTCTGGGACACAGCTTGTTGGGTTAGGGTTAGGATATGATTGGGGCTAGGCTCTGGGGTGCTTTGGGTGGGAGATCACAAGTCAGAAGGACATAATCAGCCTTGCCGCTAGCCCTAATAGCATCCTTGTGCAAGTTATAAAAAAACAGACTTTCTCAAGACATTTTACTGCCATCTGCCAGAAAATCATAGTAATAAATACACAAATCAGCAGTGACTAGGGATGTGAACAGAGCCTTCTAGAATCCTGTGTCACATAATCAGGCAACAGTCCTGGCTATAACTGGAGGTGTGGAAAGGATTGATGAGGATTGTGAGGGCTCTGAAGGAAAGCCTTCCCTGTTTAGTAATTTCCTTAGGATTATTAAACAGATTCATAGGAATATTTCGTGGATTCTTTCCCCCCCAATCAGGAGCTATAAAGATGGGATATGTGCCTTATTCATTTCTACATAGTCAGCTTCTATTAAACAGCAAAACTCAAACACTCAATCATAATTTCACAAATGAATGACTTGTATTAAAAACTATAAAATCTTCTTTAGGTTGCACTAGGCTTGAACAACTTTTACGTTTGAAAAGTTGAGAGCCAGGGCTCTCACGGCAACCTGTCTGGGTTTGAGTCCCAATACCACCACTTTCTAGTGTCTCACCTCGAGCAAGTTACTTAACATTCTTGAGCTCAGTTTCTTCATATGAAAAATGGAGAATGTACAATACCTACCTCATAGAGCCTTTATGAGGATTAAATGAGACAATGTTTAGAAACTATTTCAGAAATTGGCACACAGTAAGCATTCGATAAGTTTTATTGTTATTACTAATTCAAGCAATACCTCACCTTTATTTATATTCACAATTAACCATTGAATCAGTTGGGATTTACATTTGGCAGCTAGTAGCAAATAATAAAAATAACAGGATCTTTGCTTTTCTCTCAGATAAAAGTTTGGGGATGGAAGGTCTAGATCTCATAGGGTGGTGCCATAGTCATCAGAGACCTAGCCTATTTCCATATTCCTACTGTGTCTTTTGTAGCCATGGCTTCTATCTTCAAGGTTTCCTCATGGTCCAAGATAGCAGCCAAAGCTCCAGCCACCATGTTTGACTTCCAGGCAAGAAGCAAGAGAAAGGAGAGAAAGTTAAAAGGACTCATGCAAGCTGGCTGTCCCTCTCTTAAGGAGGCTTTCTGATTCCATGTCTACCTGCAGTGGAGGCTGTGAAAAGGAGTTTTTTAGCTCATCATATTGCTACCTGGAATAAAATCAAGGTTTTGTTATTAAGTAAGAAGAAGAGAATCAATATTGGTTTGGCAGCTAGCCTCTTTCACAACTGTAAATCAGGACCCTAACATTGCCACCATAATAAGGGTTTTAATTGACCTAAGCATGACTCCAAAATTATGTTGTCTTTGTTTTTGCCCTGTGCTAAAGATATGCTTTAGCCAGTGGAATGAGAGTTTCCTTGAAGTTTATATGAGGGTAATTCACTTCAAGGTACAAAACTAAGATTTTTGAGTTCTGAAAGTAAGATATTGCCAATCATATATATTTTGCATCTAGTATACAAATATATACAGATATATACATGTATTTTGTCATTCTATATTATTCATGGATCATAGGATATCTCCAAATTGGTACACAAGGGATGAAGTCAGCCTATGTATAAGGATCAACTCTTTCCTTGACTCAATCATTTAAAAATGGCACCACTAATAATTAGCCTAGAAAAAATATGATCTTATAATTGACATACATTTCCAGTGAGAATGTTCTAAGAACTAAAACTTGATATGGCATAAAATATGAAAAATGTACATTTTTCTTTATAAATTCTTACATTTTATATAAAAGAGAGAGATAATTATAGTAATGAAGATGAGGTTTCTTGAGGACAAAAATTATAATTCTCCTGTGAGAATGAAAGCTTAATCATCAAAATAGAGACATCACTGGCTTAAAGGAATCTATAATGGTCAAGGCAGATGACCAACCATCCTGGTTTGCCTGGGACATTCCTAGTGTTGAAACTGAAAATCCCAAGTCCTGGAAAACCTTCAGTTCTCGGCAAACTGGGACAGTTGGTTACCCTACTTTTAGCTAATATCAGGGTAGCTGCTTTAGGATAGTGTAAGAGAAATGATTAAATTTTTCCAGATCTGGATAACAAAACCTAACAGATGATTCACTGTTAAAAAACATTGATTCCCAGAGTCAGAAGTGAAGGTGGATGTTTCTGGAAATGAGACAGAGCAGGTAGGAAAGAAACAGCTTGACAATCATGAGCTAATCAGTGTTGCTTGTAGTTGTTGCCATGTGATGAGCATGTGTTTGTGGCCCCGTCTGCTGCTGACAGTGAGTCATGCTTGCAAATGAAATAAACATTAATAAATGAAGAGGATTTTCATAGTAAACTTCAACTTAACTTTAACTATTAGGTCATAATCCTCACATCTGATTTTTCAAGTTCGCATATATGATTGCCAGATAATATACAGGATGCCCAGTTCAATCTGAATTTCAAATAACTAATGAATAATTTTTTAGCTTAAGTAGATCTCAAATATCTCATGAAACACTCTTTACTAAAAAATTATCCATTGCTTATCTGAAATTCAAATTTAGCTGGGAATATTTTTATTTGCTAAATCTGGCAACCCTACGGGAAGTAAATCACAGAATGTGTTCATCGGTACCAGTACAAACACACAGTTTCTTTCTTCAATAGGGCTCTCTGAGAGCCAGTAGCACTCTATCTTTCTCTTGTGAGGTCCCTCTCATCTCCATGATCCTTACCTTTCTTTTCATGCACCTTAGTCTTTTCAGAAAAGGTGCTGGATGCTCACCACCTGCTACACTGAGGAGTCTTAAGGTTGAATTCCCTCAACCCCGTCCCCACCCCTCCTTCTCCAAGCGTCTGCGTCTATGTTCCTATCCTTTCTTCTTTAGTTCTCATCTCAGAACTGAAATCCTCCTCCTGTTGAAAGTCTTTCCCCCATGAGCTGGATTCCATGATCTCAGTTCCTCTGGCTTCTCCCTCCTTGCTGGTTCTCAGGCTTTGGCATGTGAGCAGTCAAGGCCTTCTCATCTTTAACCAAAGGCTCCCCTTGGCCCTCTAACTGCCGTTCTCTCTCTCCTCTTTTCTTTGACACTCAAGCTCTTTGAGAAGCAGTCTGCTCTGGTGGGTCCCACACTTGACTAATCAACAACATTACCCGAGAAATTTTATTAAACTATGGTCTCAAGATCCTCCTCTATACCTGCTAAATCCTGGGTGGGACTCTCACCATGTCCAGCAAGTTCTACCTCCTCATTATCTCTGGGGTCTGGCCCTGCCTCTGAGTGCCCACTGTCCCTGCTTTGCTCCAGGTAAGTGTGACTCCGGCCAGGATTACCATAACTCTCTTTCAGTTGACTTTTGTGCCTCTAATCTGAATATACTTCCACCTGATCCTTAGATTAATTGTAAACTCATATTTTATCTTATCACATTTCTCATTTGAGTCTTTAATTGACTTCCCCTTGCCTTCAGGACAAAATCCAGATTCCTTAGCATGCAAAATAGAGTGCCTAATTATGTAGCCCCTCCTACCCACACAGCCCAATCACTCACCACCCTTCTCCCCCAGGATACTCAACTACCTGTAATGTCTCCAGGCACCAGGCATTCTCGTTTCCCAGGTTCTACTTGTGTACCTTCAAAATTCCTCCTACCTGAAACATCTTTAGCCCACTTCCTAACCTCACTCCTCCTTCTCCTTTAAGAAAAAGAAATTACCAGCAGACCTGGATACCCTTGCCATAGAGATAGTGAGCTTCTTGAGGGCAGACAAGGTGTCTGATTCATTTTTGTGACCCCACTATATACCACAATGTCATAAGATATTGTTGTAGGTAACTCTGTAAAAGAAAGAATGCCTAGATGAACTACTGAATGATTGAATTTAAAAAATATTAAAAGACCAACAAGTTATTTCCCAGGGAAGAAGTGTTAGAATACAAATTAAAATTTCAAAAAGCAACTGAAACTTAGAATATCAAGTTTAGAAGTGAACAGGATCTCAGAGTTCATATAGTCCATTTTGTAAATGCCTGCAGATTAAAAAAAATTTAAAAATTAAATGTAACTCAGATTTACACACATACCTCATCAGAAGCAACTGGGTCTATATTCAGCTATGTTTTGTAGGGGGTTTTCCCCCCATTTCCTTGATTTTTTTGGCCTTGCCTTCGTTTATCTTTCTCTTCACCATAAAATCCTACAATGGCTACCAAATTTCCTAATGCATCCAGTAAATGCAACTAGTAACCTCAATTTGGATGATAGTATGTCTTGTCTATTCATCCCTGTATCTGAATCTCTGTGCTAAATAGGTCAAAAGTTTCACAATCCATTCTCTATCTCTTACTTCTAGCCTGTGAGTAGGATATTTTAGCTGAGTGAAACAACTTATTTTCTTCTACCAGTGCAGATATTTATCATCAATTTTTTATGTTTTCTTCATATTTTTACTGTTAATCATTTTCTCAACATTAAGTAGAAATTATAAAATCTCCAAGCAAAAATGAGTTCCTGGGGGCTGGCCTGGTTGCACAGTGGTTAAGTTTGCATGTTCCGCTTTGGTGGCCCAGGGTCCACGAGTTCTGATCCCAGGTGTGGACCTAAGCCCTGCTTGTCAAGCCATGCTGTGGCAGGCATCCCACATATAAAGTAAAGGAAGATGGGCACGGATGTTAGCTTAGGGCCAGTCTTCCTCAGCAAAATGAGGAGGATTGGCAGCAGATGTTAGTTTAGGGCTAATCTTCCTCAAAAAAAAAAAAATGAGTTCCTGTATGAATAATATTGTCCTTCTTCAAGAATAGTGGGATCACTCATGTATTTGCGTATGCTAGATTTGCAAACACATATGCAAAATATTTATTACTCTATCTTGTTTCACCCTTATGTAGTTTGTCTTCTGTTGCAAGCAGTATAGAGTAGTGTGTTAACTTGTTTTTTCCCAAGTTTTTTATTGTGGTAAAATACGTAACATAAAATTTACCATCTTAACCATTTTTAAGTGTATGATTCAGTGGTATTAAGTCCATTCATATTGTTGTGCAATCATCACCACCCTCCATCTCCAGAACTCATTTCATCTTTCAAAATTGAAACTTTACGCCGTTTAACAATAACTCCCCATTTCACCCTCCCCCCAGTCCCTGGTAACCACCGTTCTACTTTCTGTCTCTATGATTTTGACTACTCTAAGTCTGTACCTTACATAAGTGGAATCTTACAGTATTTGTCTTTTTGTGACTGGCTTATTTCCCTTAGCACAATGTCCTCAATGTTTATCCATGTTGCAGCACATCAGAATTTCCTTTCTTTTTAAGGCTGAATAGTATTCACTGTACGTATATACGGCATTTTGCTTATCTATTCATCTGTCCATGGACACTGGGGTTGCTTCCACGTTTTAGCTATTTTGGGTAATGCTGTATGAACATCAGTATACAAATATCTCTTCGAGACCCTGCTTTCAATTCTTTTGAATATACCCAGAAGTGGAATTGCTGGATCATATGGTAATTCTATTTTTATTTTTTGAAGAACTGTGATACTGCTTTCCACAGCAGCTGTACCATTTTACATTCCCACCAACAGTGCAAAAGGAGTCCAATTTCTCCACATCCTCGCCAACACTAAGTTTCTGTTTTGTTTTTTTTTTATGGTAACCATTCTAATGGATGTGAGGTAGTAACTTGTTTTTATTATTAGGATTATTTAGCCTATTTTGAATAAATGGATAGCCTAAAGTATTTTTGTTTCTACAGATTATTTTTGAATTTGTTTATTAAGCTTTTTTTGTTGTCATTAGCAAATAATAGATAAAACATACTGCTCTCATTTCCTGAATATTGATCTATGGTGTTTCTGACACCAAATCAGTGACCTTGAATTGATGACAATACCACATGTGCTTCCCAACCTTGAAATTTGATGTTAAAATCAGAAAAAGTAACTGGACTTTTTTTCTGGGGGGCGGGGGGTGCGGTTAATGACTGTATATTTGATAACGTTAAGAATCACTGTTAAGTTTTTGTTTGTTTGTTTTTAGCTGTGATAATGCATATTGTGGTTATGTTTAAAAAAGAATTCTTACTTATTGTGGCAATCATTTCACACGATATGTAAGTTAAGTCATTTTGCTGTACACTTTAAACTTATACAGTGCTGGATGTCAATTATATCTTAATAAAATCGAAAAAAATAAAAATCAACAAACAAAAAAAGAGTTCTTATCTTTTAGCGATACTCACTAAAATGTTTACACACAAAACAAAATAATGTCTGAGATTTGCTTCAGAATAATTTAGTGGAGGGTCGGGGGAGAGAACAGGTAGGTTATAGGTGAAAAAAGATTGGTCATCAATTGATAATTGTTGAAACAGGGTGGTGATAGATGCAGGAAGGTTTATTATATTAGTCTCTCCACTGCTCAGCAAATTGTAATTTTTCATTATGAAAAGATTTTTAAGCTGTATTTAATCTATTAAATTAAGTATTTAAAAAGATAGCACTTGTTAAGTATGGTGAGAGTAGCTTTTCACTTAATGCAGAAAAGAAAAATGTGAAATAAAACGTGTATATTACACTCACATATTGCTTTTCTTGCTTTTGATCCTCACCGTAGATGACTGATCCAGCTCTCAAATAATATTAAGCTTGTATCATATAGAAAAAAATTTTAATTACTAAAAATTGCAGAGTTAGTTGAATGAAATTAGGACAAAAGCACATTACTCATGAATTGATGCATAATCCAAACTTGCCACTTTCTGCCTAAGGACATAATATGTCTCTGTCTAATAGAACCATCTGAGTGATGGAAATGTTCTGTATCAGCTCTGTCTAATATTGTGGCCACTGGCCACATGTGGCTATTAAGCTGGCTGGTATGACTAAGTGGCCAGTGGGACTGGGGAATGGAAATTTAAATTTTATTGATTTTCACTTCTATTATTAAGCACTTTTCATTAGAAGATCTGACAAATTATATTTTTTATTGAATATGTATATCCTTTTGACAAGTGAAAAATAAATTCATAAAGTTAATTCATAAAATAAAAATTGGGGATTAGAAGTCACACTACTTGACTTGAAATACTTCATAGATGTTAAAATTTAAACTGAGAAAGCGTTATAAATAAGTTATCTATAAACAATGTTATGGATTTTAAATATAGTCAGTCAATTATTATATCTATCTTGTTTTAAGATTTCAGTATCTAGTATACCACACCAAGGATTTTTTTTTTCCCTCACCAAAGCCCCCCGGTACATAGTTGTATATTCTTAGTTGTGAGTCCTTCTAGCTGTGTGGCATGTGGAATGCCGCCTCAGCATGGCTTGATGAGCGGTGCCACGTCTGTGCCCAGGATTTGAACCAGCGAAATCCTGGGCCACCACAGTGGAGCATGGCAAATTAACCACTTGGCCACGGGGCCGGCCTCAGGATTTTTAATAGCTAATAGAAATAATAGGCAACATTTATAGAATGCTTAGCATATGTGAGGCACTATTAAGGCATTTTATATGTACTTAATGAATTTATATGTATTTGATACGTTAAAGATTAGTACATTTAATCCTTATACCAACCCTATCAGGTAGGTATACTATCACTATTCCCATTTTTCAGTGAAGAAACTGAGACACAGAGAAGAAGAAACTTACTCAAGTTTATGCTTGCAACTGGTAGGACTGAGATTTGAACCCAGAAATTTAAGTCCACATTCTTAATCACTTGGCTATATTTCCTCTCTTGAAATATTTGCTTAGAAAAGGATTAAGAAAAAATTATTAATTAGTTGTTTAAAATGTGTTTATAAAGAGTTTCTCATTACTTTGCAAAAATCCTATGTAGTGTATTGTATTATAAGGTTAAGTGAAGAAGGATATAAAATTGAATATAGAGAATCATTCACTATGTTTACACCCCCTCCCCCCTAAAAAAAATTTGCTTAGGAAAAAAGATTGGAAACAAATCTTTTGTCTGTCTTTTTGCATGTTCAAAACTTCTATAAGCAGAAAAATGTTTATTTTAAAGCTTTAGGTATTAAAATTATAGGGCATATTTAAAACCTCTTTATGGTTTATATTAATATTTGGTATTAGAGGCAACCTAAATCTAGATTGTTATAAAAGTTCATAAAAAATTCTTCCAAAAAGTTTGGCTATTTATTTTCCCAGCGGCTTACTCTGAGAATTAGATTAGTCCTAGTTGAGTCTGAAGATGTTTTGTTTCTATTAAGTTATTAAGTCCATATTTCTTAAAGATAAAAAAATGAAACTTTTCGTTCCCTGAAGAGACAAATCATTGTTACTCCTTAAAACTAAACTCTTTGAACTAACATTTTAACCTCTCTGAGGTTGGCAAATATATTGTGGGTGGAATAAAAAGTACATGTTTCACAAATGATTCTTGTCTTCGTTCATTGATTTGACTACTTTAGAAGCCAAAAATTCCTTTTGGGGATGCCATACATATATGACCTAAGATGACTTTTTCATAAATCAGGGGAACATTGCATACATTAGTATGGACTTCTCCTGAGATGTATGGAACAGACTATTGATTGTTTACCATGTACATGAATCATTATGTTATTAGCTGTCATTTATGGAATACCGACTCTATGGCAGGCACCACACTAGGCATTTTGTTATCTTATTAAATCCTCACTTCAGTCCCGTGAAGTGGGTAATTCCCATTTTAAAAATGAGGAACCTAATATGCAAAGAGAAAATTAAACTTGGCCAGGGTCAGTTGCTATGTAAGTGAGAGAGTCAGCTTTCAAATTCAGGTCTCCAAGGGTAGTAATTGTGAAGATTAAATAAAATAACCCAGGTGGAAACAACCCAAATATCCATTAATGGAGGAATGGATAAACAAAATATGATATATACATACAATGAAATATTATTCAACCTTAAAATTCTGACTACAACATGGATGAACCTGAGGACACTATGCTAAGTGAAATAAGCCAGACAAAAAAGGACGAATATTGCGTGATTCCACTTATATGAGGTTCTTAGAATAGTCAAATTTATAGAGACAGAAATTAGAATGGTGGTTGCCAGGAGTCAGAGGGAGAGGGGGACCGGGGGTTTCAGCCTAACAGCTAGGGAGTTTCAGTTTGGGATGACAAAAAAGTTCTGGAGATGAGTGGTGGTGATGGTTGCACAACAATGTGAATGTATCAACGCCACTGAACTGTACACCTAAAAATAGTTAAAATGGTAAATTTTATGTTTCGTATATTTTACCATAATAAAAAGTAACTCATGAAAACTCTTTGCAGAGTTCTAGCCCATTAGAGAACCAATACAAGGTTGAGGATCATAAGAGACTCTGTCTGTAATAATAGGTGAAAGTGGGAAGGGGATCAGTAGTGAGATGCCACTTAAGTGATCAGACCTAGTTCTTTTTACATTTAGAGTAAATCGAGGAATATTTCATGGAGAAATATTAGAGATTTCCTAAACCTCACTTACAGAGTTGGGTATTCTTGTTATCTGTCGAAATATTTCCTTGTTGATATTAAAAATTCTTAAAAAATAAGACAGCATCCTGTGAATGGATGCCATGCATCTATTGCATAGCAATGAAATGGAGGCTTCAGTCAAGTACAGTCAACAAATCGATAATGAGGGCTTACCTTATGGAAGGTCTCATGTTAGGTACTGAAAGTGAACACGTCCTACCCTTCTCTGCAGTCAGTGCTTGAAGGCATGCAAAGTAAGCCCAGACAAAAAGCTGTGAAAAAGAGAAGTGAGAAAGCCAAACAGCTAAAGCCTTTTGAAGGGAACATTGAATGGAATAGACGGAGCGATAGACAGTCTGACACTCACATAGACAAACATGCACACTCTCACTCTCTGAAAACTAAAGATCAGATTAAAAAGAAAAAATTCAAATAGACCAGATACTTATGGATAGCTCTGCACTAATTTAGTGTATCCTACTGTCCCTATTTTAGAGTGTGATATACCCCCCTACCTTTGGCATTTTAAAAACATGCATAAGAAAAGGAGGCAGAGGGGCCAGCCTGGTGGTGCAGCAGTTAAGTTCACACGTTCTCCTTCGGCAGCTCAGCGTTCGCTGGTTTGGATCCCGGGTGCGGACCTACCGACTGCTTGTCAAGCCATGCTGTGGCAGGCATCTCACATATAGAGTAGAGGAAGATGGGCACGGATGTTAGCTCAGGGCCAGGCTTCCTCAGCAAAAAAGAAGAGGATTGGAGGCAGATGTTATCTCAGGGCTAATCTTCAAAAAAAAAAAAAAAAAAAAAAAGGAGGCAGAAAGTGAAGCAAATCTCTTACATCGGTTCACTTGCCTGAAGCCTGGTTCCTAATGCCAAGAAGAGTGAAAAAAGATATACATACGTATATGTGATAAAAGACCCATTAGTTCTGGAAAAATAATGAGTTGTTGTAAATCCAGGACAAATGCAGGCAATTCAATAGAAAAACAGGCAAACAAACAGATCAGCAAAGATGATCTCCAGATGGTCAATATGGATATGGAAAGGAGTTCAACTTTATTAATCATCAGAGAAATCCAAATTGAAATCACCATGAGACACAACAATATTCCCATCATAATGGCTGAAATAAAAGACAGATGATCCTAAATGTTTGTGAGGCTTGGTTTAACTGGAATTCTCATAGATCAATGAGAGGAGGGAAAATTGGTATGCCCACTTTGGAAAACTGTTTGTCAGTGTCTATGAAAGTTGCACATATACATACTCTATAATCCAACATATCCACTTGCAAGAATATACTCATCAGAAATGAATACATATATTCACCAAAACATGCAAAGAATATTCTTAGCAGTATTGTTCATAATAGTCCTGTTATGGGTTGAATTGTGTCCCCTCTCCCAAATAAATATGTTGAAGTCCTCACCCCCAGTATCTCGGACTGTGACCTTATTTGGAAATAGGGCTGTTGCAGAGTTATTAGTTAAGATGAGATCACACTGAATTGGGGTGAGGCCCTAATCTAATATGATTGGCGATCTTTTAGAAAGGGGAAATTTGGACACAGACACACACACAGGAAGAATGCCATGTGAAGATGAAGGGTAACGCTTCTCCAAGCCAAGGGACAGCAAAGATTGCCAGCAAATCACCAGAAGCTAGGGGAGAAGCATGGACCAGATTCTTCCTCACATCCCTCCAAAGGAACCCATCCTGCTGTTACTTGGTCTCAGACTTCTAAGCTCCAAAACTGTGAGATAAGAAATTTTTGTTGCTTAAGCCACTCAGTTTGTGATACTTTGTTACAGCAGCCCTAGGAAACCGCTGTAAGCGCCAAACTAGAAACAACCTAAATGTCTACCAGCTGTATTTATTCAGTCAAACAGGCAAAGTATGGTATTTCAGGCAATGGAATACTGTACAGTAACAAAAATGAACTAACTACAACTATGCTCAACAATATGAATAAATCTTAAAATGTAAAGTTGAGCAAAAGAATCAGACTCAAAAGAGTACACATAATATGATTCTATGTATATAAAGTCAAACCTATAAATTAGCCAAAACTAATTTATGGTGTTACAAGTCAGGATTATGGTTATTCTTTGTATGGGAGGAGAGACAGGAAGTGGGACAAGGGGTTTTCTGAGGTTCTGGACATACTCTATTTCTTAATGTGGGTGCTGGTTGCATGGGTTTGTTCAGTTTATGAAAAATCTTTGAGCCGTATACTTATGAATTTCATACTTTCCTGTACGTATGTATGTTTAAATAAAAAGTTGTTAAAGTAAAAAACAAAATCCGGCAAATCCCCTTTCTCTCACTTGCTTTGTGACCTTTCGTAAATTTCTTAAGACTCCAACTTCTGCTATATAAAATGGTAATAACAATAGTACTTACTCCATATGTTTGTTGTGAAATATAGTGAGATAATACATATGAAGCACTTAGCAAAATGGCTGACAGCACTCAATAAAAGTTAGCTATTATTACTATAATTATAAGGATTGACAAATATACTATGGAATAGTTTTACTGCTGGATAAACAACAACTGACATAGTTTCTATGGTTACACACATTGGAGTCTATAACTTATTTTACGAAGACTCATTATGTAGAGTAGAAGCCCAGTCACTTAGCCTAGAAAAAATACGATGTGGCCAACTTGAGAGGCCTAACCAGCTTCTGTGTTCTTTTAAGTAGTCTTGATCTTTCCTAAATTATATTTTTCCACATTTTAAGTATAAAAGGTGTTAAACATCACTTTTTTTCTGGCAGTCACTAGAAAATGAAAAAAGGAAAAGGGCCTCCAGGAATAATAACACTTTATATTTGTATGGTTACATTTTCATTTGAGCTTCACAACAACCTATGAGACAGACAGGGAAGGAATTAGCATTCTGATGTTAAAGATGAGCAAACCAGCTCAGCAGGTTAAGTGACTTGTTCAGAACGACATTGCTGAGATATGGCATAGTTGGCACCAAAGCTATTAGAAAATTACAAAAGATAATTCAGGAGTAAAACACAAAGGGTAATTTAAGGTGAATAGTAAAAGAATCTTGGCTTGAGCAATGATGTCCTATGGAACTTTCTGTGATGAGCAAATGTTCTTTATGTGCACTGTCCAACCCTGTAGAGACTAAACATTAGTGGCTAGTATCGCTGAGGAACCAAATTTTTAATATTATTAATTTAAATTTAAATGGCCACATGTAGCTAGGGACTACTGTATTGTATGTGCAACTGTGTTGTTTCAGGAGTCATCGTAACGTCCCATGGTCAAGGAGTGGGGGCTGGGCTAACAGAGTTAGCACCCCATTCACTGCACATATTTAGGTCATCTTATATCCCACCTTCCGTGAGTGGATTTGTATGAATTGGGCTGGGATTGTTTGGTTTTTAAGCTTGCATTCACACAACTAATGTTATGTACCTATTATATTTTCAAAGATTATATTTTTGGAGGGCCTATTTATTGTATTTTACTTTATTTATTTTTTTTGAGAAAGATTAGCCCTGAGCTAACATCTGCTGCCAATCCTCCTCTTTTTTGATGAGGAAGATTGGCCCTGAGCTAACATCCATGCCCACCTTCCTCCACTTTACATGTGGGACGCCTGCCTCAGCTTGGCTTGACAAGTGGTGCATAGGTGTGTAACCGGGATCCGAACTGGCAAACTCTGGACTGCCAAAGCGGAACATGCAAACTTAACCGCTGGGCCCCCGGGCCAATTATTGTATTTTAAAAAGTGGGTGTTCTATTTGTCACAAAGCAGCACACCTTGAGAGGATTAGTAACTATCTTAGAATTTATCCTTTTTGGTGGTAATGCATTTGACTGTTTCTTCTAAAAGAAATTTTGACATGTAGAGTTCATGATGTGCTGAAGTTCTATATTTTTTAGTTTCATTAGTACTGTTTTGGAGGGCTGTTTCTTGTTAGATGTGGTAGGAACAGTCAGTGGAGTATTTTGGATTATTTTAAGAGTTATCATATTTGAACCAAGCTGCAAGTGGAGTGATAGTTTCACAGATATCACTCAAAGTCTGCATTTACCTCTCCGAGCCTCAGTTTCCATATCTCCAAAATGAAGGTGTTGGGATGGGTGATCTGGAAGTCCCTCACAAATGCTAAAGTTTTATGGTATGGCTCCATGGAAACATACATTTCTCTCTTTCCCAGACAATTGAGTTTTAAGGAAATTTCAGGGGCCTATGATGAACCAAATCATCTGTCCCATTTAAACAAAAAAAAATTAAATTTTATTTTCTACTGTACGTGCTATTTTTGTGTGTATGTGTGTATACTCGTAACATTAACACTTTTGTTTTTAAAAGTCAGTATCTGAATGCTATGGTGTGAATGTTTGTGCCCCCTCCCCCAAATTCAAATGTCAAAAATCTAATGCTCAAGGGGCTGGCCCCGTGGCCGAGTGGTTAAGTTCGCGCGCTCCACTGCAGGTGGCCCAGTGTTTCGTTGGTTCGAATCCTGGGTGTGGAAATGGCACTGCTCATCAAACCACGCTGAGGCAGCGTCCCACATGCCACAAGTAGAAGGACCCACAACAAAGAATATAATACAACTATGCACCAGGGGGCTTTGGGGAGAAACAGGAAAAAAATAAAATCTTTAAAAAAAAAAAATCTAATGCTCAAGTTGATTGTATTAGGAGGAGAGGTCTTTGGGAGGTGACAAAGTCCAGAGGCGGAACCCTCATGAATGGGATTAATGCCCTTATAAAAGAGTCCCTAGAGAGACCCCTTCACGGCCCCTTTTGCCGTGTGAGAATATAATAAAAAGTCAGGAATCTGAAACCTGGAAGGGGGCCCTCACTAGAACCCAACCATGCTAGCCCCCTGATTTTGGACTTCCAGCCTCCAAAACTGTGAGAAATAAATTTTGGTTGTTTATAAGCCACCCAATCTATGGTATTTTGTTATAGCAGCCCAAACAGACTAGCATACTGGATAAAAAAGAAGATCTGAGCTTGATGTCTTTACTTTCATTAGGGAAATCATGCCAGATTTTTCAGCGATCATTCTTCAGAAGCAGAATTTATAGACATTTCATATTATCGACAAGTGAAGTGGGATACAGTATAAATATTTTATTTATTCTAGGATATAACTGTCAGATATAAAAGGAACTCCCATATTTCACTCTCTTGGCTTACTTTGGCTCTGTCAGGCCATTAGGTTTTGCCTATTTGAATCTTAAGGCCAGGAAATGGGTATCAATGTCTTCCTAGTTCTGGAAAGGCAGCATCTGGTAAATCACTCCATCTGATAACTGTCATCATTTTGTCCCTTTGGATATTGAATGCCCTTTATCCTCAGTACTGAGATCAGCCAACTTTACTAGATGGTGACCTTGTTGTTAATGTTGTACTATGTTGTTAATCGTGAAGCAGCATACTGACATCAGACTGTTTAACAAATGAGGTCTGGTTCCTAACACAGAAGAAGAGAGCAAAGGATCTTTAACACAGTAAGAAAATCTTGACATGTAGAAGACATCATTCTCTCCTAGTATTTTATACACACACCCACATGCACACATATACTGTTTGTTTACTTACACGATAGTCATACATGAATTGGTCAAGAAGAACCTGTCATAATAGGCAATATACTCAATGCCAGCTCTGCTCCTCTATGATGAAAGTGATTATCAGGCTTGCAGAGAAAAACGGAGACAAATAACAACATCTAAAGTCCAGCTTTGGTACGGTCAAAGAACAGCCTTCCTTACTCAAGGTAAAGCAAAGATCATTGTAATAACTTATGACTTGGCCCAGTTTAACACAGGTAATCCCTAAGGCAAGCAGCTTTTGATTTGCTCACCTTTGTTGCTTATGAACAAAGGAAAAATGAAAATGCTAAATAAAAATATTGTTAAGACTGAGATGCAGCTTATTAGAATGCAAATCTTCTCTAATTGTTGCCTGGTGGTGCCTCCATATACAACAGTACATATATAAAATGAAGCCAATAGGAAATACTTAATACGGAAATTTATTTTAATCTCAAAGCTAATTCTCACATACTTCCTCCCTTTCTTCTGTTCCTCTCTCGCTGTTTGTTCTTTATTATACGGAGACAATTTCAGCTTGTAGTATTTAAACAAACATGTGATAGTTTTCTGTGTCAACTTGGTTAGGCTATAGTCCCAATTATTCAATTAAACACTAATTTAGACTTTGCTGTGGGGTATCTTATAGATATGATTAAAGTACAAAATCAGTTGACTTTAAGTAAAGGACACAATCCTCTATAATCTGGGTGGGCCTGATTCAATCCATTGAAAGGCCTTAAGAGCAGAGTAGAGGCTTCTCTGAGGAAGAAGAAATTTTGCCTGTAGACAGAAACTTCCAAAAGCCTTCTAGAGTTCCAGTTGCCTGTGCTATGGATTTTGGACTTGCCTAGTCAGCCCTCACAACAGCATACGCTAATCCCTTGCAATAAATCTATTAATGTATACCTTTTATTGGTTCTGTTTCTTTGGTTGAACCCTGACTGATCAAAAACATTAGCTGCACTTTAGATTCTTCTAACACACTAGACAAGAATAAAGAGAGGGAAAGGAAGTAGATACCTGAGTGTCAAACTGCTCACTTTAGAAGACTTTCTCTCTAAAATTATAGAGCTGAACAGACGACAAGAATCTCAGAACCAGTTAAATAAGGAACCCTATGTGAAGCTAAACTGAGGCTGAAGCCTACAAACTGTTTAAAAGATCCACACACATGGTAGCAGAGATACAACTTTGCAGCAAGAATTATGCTTATTTCCATTCGCTAAAATGATGAACAGTATTTCTTGTATTTTCTAAAATCTACTTTAGAACTTAACGTTTAGAAAATAATGGCTGTTGGGGCTGGCTCCGTGGCTGAGTGGTTAAGTTTGCGCATTCCGCTGCAGTGGCCCAGGGTTCGGACCCTGGGCGTGGACATGGCACCGCTTGTCAGGCCACGTTGACACAGCGTCCCACATTCCACAACTAGAAGGACCTGCAACTAAGATATACAACTATGTACTGGGGCGGGTTTGGGAAATAAAGCAGAAAAAAAAAAGATTGGCAACGGTTGTTAGCCCAGGTGCCAATCCTTAAAAAAAAAAAAAAAAAGAAAAGAAAATAACGGCTGTTGAATTTCTTAGGTAGAGAGAGAAATCTTCAGGTAGAGAAAGTAATTTTACTGCTTTTCAATGATTCTCTAGGTAAATACACAAAATCATACATCTTCCAAGTGCAATTAACTGTTAGGATCTGTGGTCACATTAGCCATCAGTAGCTACTTAAAGGAGTAGTTCTAGGTTGTAGAGCGAGTAAGAAAAAACTAAAAATCACTGAAGAAGAAAGGAAAATTTGGAGCATTGCCCACCAGTAACTTAGGCTGGTGTAGACGGCCATTTGCAGGCAATGGCATGCCTACTGCTCTCTGACAGGTGGGGCTCTTAACAAAGAATCCTGGCACATGTCTATGCAGTTTAGCATACCTGGTTAGAAGTAAGAGGAGAATATGGAGGATGATAAAGAAATTAGTTTACCTCTGGAGAGAATGTCTGTACTTCTGGGAAGGTAAGAGGGATTCCCAATGGGAAGCATGTCCCTATGACTTGACAACATCACAGAACAGAACAACATCAAAGTCAATGTGGGAAGGCTGTAGATACGTTACATCCACATGAGAAAATGGTAACAATGGAGGGTATTGAGGGTTATTCTGCAGATGAAACATCAATCATGTGAAAGGACGGTTGTAGTCATTTAAAACAATTTTGATTATATTAACAATGTTCTATCACTTTATATCTTGGTACTTGTCTAGGTCAGGTTCTCTACAAAACAGATGCTGATGTGAAGTTACGACTGCAAGAGATTTATTGGGTAGTTAAATTCTGTGAAAGGAAAAAGGATTGGTCAGGGAGAGTTATCACAAAATACTGCAGAGCTGACAAAATCTCTGCCAGTTCAGCAGGGAGCTCTGAAGCAAAGATTGCTCCTCCACAGGGTCCAGTGTCAGGTAAAAGTGGCTAGACCCGTACCGCTGCCTTGTCTAGTCAATGGCCTGGTGCCACCCTGAAAATAGCATGACCTCAGGTTGAAAGCTGAAAGACTCTTGAACAAAACTAAAAGTTGGAAGCTGTGGGTTAATCACACTCCTTGCAGCTGGGCAGAGTGTCCTTTCTTGACAGAGAATCCAGGCAGCTCATCTCCATGTCTTCCCCAGTACTGAAGTGTGCAGTGTGGCACCAGTAAAATTTTGGTGGCTGTGTATTTAGAGATGAACACTGACTAGGCCAGAACAAGAGGTGTCTGTGAAGTGTACTAGAATTCTAAAATCCACTTGAGGTAGTTTATAGCTACCTATTCCTTAGGTAACCAGGGTTGTCACTACTGAAAGATTAGGGATTGAAAATATCAGACGTTGCTTAAGGCCTCTAAAATAATATTGTTACTCCCATTTCATCCCACAAGTTGCTCCTAGAGGGACAACTCAGGGCCTCTGCTTGTGATGTCCTGTTACAGGTCACATTGGCTTAGTTGTGGAATGGGCAAAAGGAGCTCAGAATGGCTCCTTTGGGGATGATGAAAAAGAATCATTTATTTCATATAGATGAAGAAGGTGAGATTTAAGGAAGTCAGGTTAGCTCTTTGTGATGCATCACTATTTTTTTTTTTTTTTGGTCTTCTTCACAAGTTCCACAATCGTGGTGGACAGAAAGAGACAAGGGGTTTTTTTTTGGGAGGAGGGGGATGTATTATAGCATAGCACTTAATATAGCGGAGGTTCTGGAATCTGTCACCACTTACTAGCGATTTAGCTTTATAAGTTCTTGAACCTCTCAGTATCTTAGTTTCCTGATTTGTTAAACAAGGATTACACATGCCTACGTCATGGAGCTGTTGTGAGGATGAAATGATCTAACGCATGCAGTCCCTGGCTTGGGAAGGGCTCAATACTTGTTAGCTGTTATTCTACTTCTCTTTCCCCTCTGTCTCGTCCTCTCTTCACTGAAAAAACCCTTTCCTGCTGAATTGTGTCATGTGCTCTCTAGACTAGCAAAACGTTCACAAAACCTAGGAGGAGGGTAAAATGGAAAGAATCTCTTATTCTAACAGTATTCAGGATGTCTGCTTTTGTTTAGGTCTTTGGTTTTCATTGTTATGTTCTCAGTACTGTTCAGGGTGTGCTAGGTGTAAAACACAGCCTCTGCCCTGAGCAGCAGTCTATTTGAAAAACAAATGGACATATAAATGATTCATGAAAAGGCAAGTGTATATAAAATTAAGTTCTAAATGAACTGTATAGAACATAAGTGATGTAGGAATCTAATTTCATTTTGCTGACTCCGGCTGCTGTTTTGATCATTGATACCATTTGGGGTGAAATTGTGAGGGTAAGCTCTCGTACAGTAATACAATAAAATGTCATATGTTTATTGTCTTAGAATGTAAAATACATTAAGATCAAAAGACAGCAAGCTTAAAGAAATTTAAATAGGATATTACTGCCTGTTATTGTTAGCCTATGTTAGTCTATTAATGCTCTCTACCAGTAGATATGTCAAGATGGCAAAACCAGCAAGAATTGATTAATGCTTTGAATAAAACTATCAAGAAGGCTTAAATATTTTAGTTGATGATCTCTCAATGAGTTTCTGTTGTTACTGTATTTTTGCTATTTTAACCAGCTGATGAGGCTCATCCAGTGGCCTTCTTCCTGCCCTTTGGAGATACTCACACATAGCAGGTCATGTGCGGTTAACCAGACCTAAGACAGTCTTACAATGCTGCACACCAAGTGATTCCTTACTGTTAAACACTTCGGAATTTTTGATGTATGACCACAAAATACTCCTATCTTATTTCATTATTTTCTTGTATCTTTTCAGCAACCTAGGGCTCTAGAGGCCTCTTTTCTTGACGAGATACATGAGCACGGCTGAAGAGTCCCTGTTTGATTCTTAAATCTCTTACTACAAAGAGGGGGACAAAAAAGATTTTTTAAAAAGATATCCCCTAACTCACTAATCATTTTGAATGAGCATTTTAGGACTGTCCTAAAGACGGATCTCCCTGCATTGTCCTAGCCTGGGTGAGTAATAGGAGGAATGCTGGGTAAATAAGTGACCTGTCCTCAGGTGTCCTAGGAATGCGTCCCCTCCCTCCTCCACACCAGTCTGCGTGGTGTGATTGCGTACCCGCCTGTGCCTGCGCGAAACCCGTCCAATAGAAAAGACCAATCAAGGACGGTGATATCTTTTTTCCCCTCTCTTTGCCACCGCCCACTCCCGACAGGCTGACAACCTAGACAGCTCCCCCGGACTTGTCTTTACTTTTCCACATCCTCCCACTCGGTTTAACCCCACACTCACGACGCGGATGGGCCGCCGGAAGACCCACCGAGCATGCGCGACCATACCGAGCATGCTCAGTAGCGCGCGAGGCGCCCCGGAGCTCCTCCACCGAGCCGCGGTCGACGCGGAGGTCTCCGCGGCTTCTGCGGGAGCGGCAGGAAGTGAAGCGGCCGGGCCCGGCGACCGCGGCGGTAGAAACAGAAGCGGAAGGGGCTCTTCGGCGACGACGTCGTCCCCCGGGGTGGCCGAGGGGGCTGAGCGCCGAGGGGAGTCGCCCGCTCGGAAGCCGGATCCCGAGCCGGGAAGGATGGATCACCACCAGCCCGGGACTGGCCGCTACCAGGTGGTGAGTTCCTGGCCCCTGCCCCGGCCTCCCGCGCCGCCGGGGACCTCGGGACTGCCTCCCACTGTGGCTCCCAGGGTCCCTTTCCTCAGGTTATTCGCGGAGGGGACGTGCTGGCGAATTTTTCTTTGGCTCTTCTGGCGGGACCTGTTTCCCTCACACCTCTCCTGTGGATCTTGCCTCGGACTCCTTCGAGACTCTTCCCTGTCGACCCAAGTCTCCTCCTGGCTCCTCACCCCTCGCCCGCACCCTATACCCCGCTGTAAGATAGCCCCCTCCACTCCCTTAAAACTTAGATTTGTTTTATTTCTCACTTTCTCGATCATTTCCTTATTCCGTAAGCCAGAGGCATTCTGAGACATTCCCGTGGATTGTCTTTTGGAAATGGTGCAGAGTTCACATACCTGCCGAGGTGGTCGAAGGTGATCGCCGTCGTAAATGGGGGTGGGGTGGGGGACTAGGGGGGAGCAGATGTTAGTACTACATAGGATGGGACCTGGATTTGGTAAAAAATGTGGATTTAAAAATTGTGCAACTGTGAAGAGGGATCATGGTGCTGATCTTGTCTCTCAGCCTGTTAACCTTGTCATTTTGTCCTTTTTCATTCTGTTAATATTAAAGTGACTCTATTCTTTTTTTCTGTCCGCGCATTTTTTTGGCAAGAGGGAAAACATGAAGATTTTGCTAGAAAACATGCTAATCTCGTTTGAAAAATTATTTTTCATTAAATACAAAATTTTCCTGTTTAATCATATAAACCTTTGTATGTTGTAATGAGCGAAAACTGTCCCTCTATATTTTCAGTGTCAATTTTTCTAATATATTTTTCCCTCTAGTATTCTGGTGATGTCATTGGAGATTGTTCTTGTAAGCCCTATTTAAAAAATGGATTCAGCAATAGTTGACTCTTTTGTTGCAGCGAGGTAGTGTATACTATAAACTTTGAGGTGGTAATTTAGTTTAACCTTTTTACTGAGGGAGAGGAGAAAAACGTTAATATGAGCACTGATGGTGCAATTAATAGTACTATGTGAAATTTTACAAATGTAGATATGTTATTGCAGATTTCACCTTTCAGATCTGCACATGTGAGAGTTGTGAACTAAGAATTTCTCAATAAGCACATTTTGACAAATAGGAAAGCTACTGAATCTTGAAATCCCGATATATGTAATTTTGCATTTTTCTAAGATAAAAGCTCATGATGCTTCCATTTCATATGGTTTACGTCCTGTAAAACCTTCAAATGGTCCATATTCTGAATTCTGTGAAAATTTGTCAGTATTTTCAGAACGGTTTGAAAAATATCTTTGCTGCCAGTTTGGAAAGCATTTTTCAAGTTATCAGTGTGTATACGTTTTTGGTGGTTTGATTTTATTTTTTAAAGGTATTCTTATTTTTGTAAATGTTAGCAATAATAAAATGCAGTAGCTAAATATCGAATACTCTTATCAGCAAGACTTGTTTTTTTTCCTAATCTCTTCTTTCCTGTTCCTATTTGTTTCTTTAATGGTATTAGCTGATTTAAAATTCTTTCTCTTTGGGGGTTTTGCTTGTTAGAATCAACCATATTGTCATACACAAGTTACTACTCAAAACATTTTTACCTGATGTAGCTGTGCCTTAAAATAATTTATCGTCTTGTCATATTTGCTTTCAGTAGTTATGACTAGTTAAGATGACTTATTCTTTTGAAAAATTTCTGACACCAGAATATTGAAGTTTGTTCTCTCAGTTTTAAGGTATTTTCTTTTTCTTTTCAACTCCTTTCAAAATAAATGGACAATATTATATTTTATTTCTTTTTTTTCAAACTGGAGATGTGTCGTACATAGACTTTGAATGGGTGGAGGTATTCTTTCAGAGCAGTGGGCAAAATTCAGTCCTTCTAAAGATACTACTCACTTTCAGTAGGTAGGACACCAGTTTGTTTTCCTTGTAAGGCAAAGTGTTTGAGAATCTTAGCACAGTTTAAATTTGGATTTTAATTCCTGTTTCTGTATAATTACAGTAATTTCATCTGTCTAGTGTAACTCTTGGTTTTGTTGAGAGTGGTCAGATCAATAACTATTTCTAGGTATGTCCCAGAGAAGCAGCTGAATTGATTTCCAGTGGACTATTTAGCTAGAGACCAATCTGCAGCCCTGACTTATATGGTGAACACAACTGTTGTGTGGTGGCCTTTAGCTGAGTTCTTTTGAAAACTCTGGTATGATTAATAAACTTGAGCAGTGAACAATTTCAGTTGTTGAATGTTAAGAGATGACTAAGTAGGAGGCAGGCAAGAATGCTTAGGGATGAAATGGTATATGATGTTAATTTATCACTTATTATTAGTGTTAAAAATTTAGCTTTTCGTTTTGGCAAGTTAGTGGCAATGCCCAGGACCATCAGAGTGACTTACTACCATTGATCAAGGCACAAGCTTTATGTAAAACTGCTTTTCTGTCTCTATTCTTCTTTTCCATTGTTAAAAGGATCTGAATTTTGTTAAGTAAAGCAGTGGATAACAACATAGAGGTACAAAAAGCCTTGATTGTTACCCTTCTGATTTCAGAAAAAGCCAGGTATGATGTGTAGTTTCATTGTATTATGGGAAATTCAGTTTTGTTTGGTAGGAAATGAGCAATGTTGCCAAACTAGGAAGTAAGATGACTTGGCTGGGAGCGTTAGGCCACATTCTAACTTTGATGTTCTATATTTGAAAGGATTATGTACCTGTACCAAGCTGACTACTAAAATTTCAAAGGTATTCTGTGTACAAGTTGAGTTGACACTCTTGATTGTAGCAGTAGTTTCCCAAACTGTATTCCAGAATGTTGATAATAGATGGTCTTAGAAGATTTATAGCATATATTAGCATATTAAAACATGTATTTGTATATTAAAGCCATGAGAAATTCTGCAGTAAAGGCAGTGGTTTGGATTTGTTTGACCTAGCTCTTGCTAAACCTTAACTACAAACTTCTAAAGAAAAATTTTAAGATTTTACTAACATTTCCAAAATATTAGTTTTCTGTGAACATAATGAAGTATTCATACTGCAAAGATCTAGATACTTAGCTCTTGTATCTGGAGAATTAGAATTTTCCTTGATAAATCAGCTAGAAAGGAGGCTGACTATTAATGCTTTAAAAAACTACCTGTTTTAAAGTCATTTGGGCTTATATTTAGGTTGTGCTGTTTACAATTTGTGAGCCCTTGGCTTAGTTACTTAAGATCTTGAAACTTCAGTTTCCTCCTTTAGCACCTACCTCATTAGGATTATTATAAGAATTATATAATGTAATATATGTAAAAGATATAGTATAGAAATGGATAAATGATAAATGTTATTATGAATAACATAAGGTAAATAAACCATAAAATACTATATAGATTTCAGTTTTTGCTGGTCACCACCTTTGTGTCTCTTGTATTATTTAGCAACATGAGTATCAACTAGTTCTTTACTGTCCATGTCAAGAACTGTGACAAGTGTTAAGATTTGATTTTTACCACATGTATAAAGCTAATAAGTTAGTCTATTAATGTTTCATGGTTGCTGGCAGAAAACAGGAGACTCCCAGGTCAGAAACAAGTGACATTATTATTCAAGGGACAGCAAGCTGCATAACTTCAGTGTATTTGTGTAGGTTTTCCTTGCAAGCAGGTCCCATGAGGGTGTTGGGTCTAAATGGATATAGTTGTTGGTCACAGCTGAGGAACTCAGGGCCAAGAGTCCAGCACTTTTTTAGCAAGCAGCAAACATTGTAGCAAACAACAAACAAGCTAGTTCACCTCTCCCTGGGAGGGCAGTTATGTGCTGTGGTAACCTTGAACTTCTTTGTTGTCTATGTGACTTACTACAGGAATCCACTCAGTATCAGGAAATGGCTAAGTTTTGCAGACTGTCACACTCAGCAAGAATGTGCAGGGGCACTCAGGTCCATGGCAGACTGCCTTACTCAGTAGTACATGTTCTGGATGAGATAATCTATGCAATTTTTAGGGCAGTCGTTTACTTTTGCTTTCTATTTTAAAGAAATATTGCAGTCTTTTACCTTATGTTGCTCTCTTGTTATTGCCTTCTTTTCTTGGCCCAGCTTGGTTCCTTTTGTCTTCAGTTGTTTGTTTCCTTTGAATTTATCAATATTCTTTATCTGGTTTATATTCTTACCACACCCCTTTGACATCATCAAGTTTGCTTATTGCTTAATCTAATAGATACTTTTCAGTTCTTGTTTTGTTTGATTTGTTACATTGACGCTGTGTACTTTCTCCTTGAAACTCCTTCCTTATTCCTGATGTGAAGCAGCTTTCTGCTCTTTACTTCTCTGACTTCTTTTGTTCATGAACTCATTTTGTACCTACTCCTTAAATGTTGGTGCTTTCTGTGGCATGGACTATTGTAATAGCCTACTTAGTACTTTCTTCGTTCGTGTGACCATCCCTCAGTGTATTGTTTGCATTACGTGAGTTGTATTTGTAGAATATAAATTTAATTTTCATTTCTTTCCTCAGAAATCTTCAGTGGCCTCTTAGTGAGTTCCCTCTTCTCCCACATTTAATATTAAAACTTTCAAATGTATAGAAAAGTTGAAAGAATATAGGGTCAACAGTTACCAACAGTTTGTTATGTAGTCAAGTTATGGTATATCTGTCAAGCCATCTTATTTCTTGATGCTTTCAAAGTAAGTTGCAGATATTAATGTACCTCACTGCAAACTACGTGCTTATCATTAGTCTAGAGTTCAGTATTTCTTTATAGTTCTTTGGGATAAAATTGACATATAATGAAATGTACAAATCATACATGGCCTATTGGATGAATTTTGACAAATGCATACACCTGTGTAACCCAAATCACTTTCAAAATGTAGAGCAGGGATCAGCAAACTGTGTTTCAGTTCCTGTTTTTGTAAATAAAGTTGTATTGTAACACAGCCGTGCCCGTTCATTTACAATGGGTGAATTGAGTATTTGAGGCAGAACCCACAAAGCCTGAAATATTTACTGTTCTG